TGCTCAGAGTGGGAAGGTGACCTTATCCTGCCAGGCCGACGGGGAGAGCATCTAATGCGCTGTCGGAGGGAAGCCGGCCAAGCAGCATGGGCAGATTAATGCCTGTGGAGATGAAGCTGCAACGTGAGGGCAGCGAGTAGATCCCCATTCAGGGAGAGCATCGTGCTGCACCCCCGAGCAGAGCCAGGAGGAAAGGGAGCAGCCAGTCTGTGGGTACCCCTGGCACTGTTGTGCCCTAAGGAAAGCAGGAGCTGCACAAAGAGCAGAGAGCTTGGCTTGGTGCTTTTTGCCCCTGCCTGGGGTATGTTGTGGGGTGCAGGAGCGGGGTGCTGAGTGTGCCCCATGGCAGGGAGGTCACACAGCCAGCCAGGCCCATGGCTCTGTGTGAAAATGCCTGGCTCATCCATCCTTCCGCAGGGGAGGGAGGCAGGAATTGCCATAACAACAGCCACGATCGTTTGATTTGATTTCCTGCATGACTCTGACCACGGGGTCTCCAGCACTAATTCCTGCTCTGGGCTCGGGGTTGCAGACGCCGCGTCCCCTGTGAGCAGGTCCGAGGGTTAATTCCCATCATGTCAGGGATACACGGAAGGGGAAGATGCAGCTTCCAGCCCTGAGGCTGTTGGAAAGCTGCAGAGCTGCAGCCTCTCCTGCCCAGGGCTGCCTCCAGCACCCCTCCAGAGCCACTGAGGGGTGTGGGCACAGCAGGCAATGGGCACGGGGCTGGTAACAGGATGGGGGGGTTCATGTGCCCCCGGTTCATATGCTTGGGGTGCTGCACATCACCAGCTGTGCGGATGGGCCTGGATCCATCAGGTGAACAGGGATCTGCCCCTGCTGAGCTCTTTGCCTTCCTCTCCACAGTGTGACCAGTACAAGAAAGGAATCATTTCTGGCTCCACGTGCAAGGACCTGTGTGAGGAGCGCAGCCTCCTCTTCCAGCATTGCCTCTCCTCCTCTCCCACCCAGCAGGTAGGTGCCTGCCCTGCCTAGAAACCCACCACAGGGCTGGGGATGGAAGCAAGCTTCAGACTGGGGAATGCCCTCACCCAGTCCCTGGACCAGTCCCAGACTGGACCAGAACCAAGTTCTCTGCGCTCGCTGTTTCCTCCCATCTCAGTGTGTCCCTTTGCCATTGCTGCAGGTTTACAGCGGGCTCTGGAGGGAGACGGAGGTGATCATCAAATGCGGCATCGAGGAAGCCTTGAAGGCAGACGGGCACCCGGACTCTGTGCCCAGGAGGGACGTGGTCCTCTTCGACAAGCCGACACGAGGGACGTCGATGGATGAGTTCAAGGAAATGCTGCTCAACTTCCTAAAGGTCAGTGCCCGTGTCCCTCCGGATGCCACTGGGAAAGGCTCATAGTGTCTTGTTCCTACTGAATGAGAGCTCCTCGGGCCCATGCTTCCCCACTGGTGCTGGGAGCCAGGCAGGGCTCCTCTTTGTGTCCTGCAGCTATGGGGCTCCCTGAGGAATGGGCTGGCCCCAGTGCAGGCAGTGGTGGGGACAGGGATAGACAGTGCTTCTGATTCACAGCTTCTCTGGGCACCCTGTGCCAGCGCCTCAGCACCCTCACAGGGAAGAGCTTCTGCCTAAGAGCTCAGCTCAGTCTCCCCTCGGGCAGGTTCAAGCCATTCCCCTTGGCCTGTCCCTACAGGCCCTTGTCCCAAGCCCCTCTCCAGGTTTCCTGCAGCCCCTTTAGGCACTGGAGCTGCTCTGAGGGCTCCCCTTCAGGAGCCTTCTCCAGGCAGAACCAGCCCAGCTCTCAGCCTGGAAGCTTCTTCCCACCTGGGTCTAGTGCAGCCCTGATGCTGGAGGCGAATTGGTCCAACCCTACCCAGGGGTGCGGTACTGAGGCTGTATGAGCATGGTGGCTGTTCCTTCCTCTCCCAAGCTCGGTTCTTTGCCTCCCCAGTTCAGTTTAGTGAGGTGAAGCCTGAACATGCAGAGCTGCAGGGGTCTGATGCCACTTGTTCTGTTCTGGTTCTGTTCACAGTCCAAGCTGGGAGACCAGCCTTCTCTTGCAGCCCTGGTGAGCCGCATCATTGGCATGGCAGACGTGAACCGGGACGGGAAAGTGTCTTTAGCAGAGGCCAAATCCATCTGGGCTCTACTTCAGCTCAATGAGTTCCTGCTCATGTTCTCCTTGCATGAGAAAGAGCACACTTCCAAACTGCTGGGGCACTGCGGGGACCTCTACGTCACCGAGAAGATCCCCCACACCTCCCTCTATGGGGTGGACGTTCCCCCCTTCCTCCAGCCGCTGCTGCCTTCGGTCGTGCACCAGCTCATCCACCAGTGGTTCGCGCCAGCATGGCCCCGGCGGGCCAAGATCTCCATCGGCCTCCTGGAGTTCGTGGAGGAGATCTTCCACGGCACCTACGGGAGCTTCTACATCTGCGAGGCCAGCGCCAGGAACGTGGGCTACAACGACAAGTACGACTTCAAGATGGTCAACCTGCGGAAGGTGGCGACGGAGACGACGATCCGAGGCTTCCTCAAGGGCCGGCACTGCGAGCACAACGTGGACTGCACCTACGGGGAGGACTGCACGGCCACGTGCGACAAGCTCATGAAGCAGTGCAAGAGCGACGTGGTGCAGCCCAACCTGGCCAAGGTGTGCGGGCTGCTGCAGGACTATTTGCTGTATGGGGCACCGCTGGAGCTGAAGGAGGAGCTGCAGAAGCAGCTCCGAACGTGCATGACCCTCAGCGGGCTGGCCAGCCAGATGGAGGTGCACCACTCCCTCGTGCTCAACAACCTCAAGACCTTGCTCTGGAAGAGGATTTCCAACACCAAATACTCCTAACGGGGGGAGCACGGCCCTGGAGTTTAGAACCCATGATCTCAGAGCTGAGTGCAAGGGCTGAAGGCCTGGTTCTCCATCCTCTCTCCCACAGGCAAATACCCCCTGCGCAGGGAGTTCAGCATAGCTGCAGCCCCTTCTCCCTCATGGAAAACCAAGCGTCATGACTTCCACCGCCAGCAGGACCATCGGGATCATCCATCGAGCCGGCAGGAGCGTCCTGTGAGCCGGGACAGCGGGGCCGGGCTGAGCCTGGGGGAAGATGAGGCGGAAAGCGAGGAGGAAGCGGAGCCCAGCTGGAGGCATCAAACTGGTCCTTGATTAACAGGAAAGCAGCGCCGAGATGAGAGTGAATCATTCGTGCTGTTCTTGTCACATCATCTTTTGATGAATGTCTCTGATGTAAATAAATGGCTTTTACGTGAACCGCACCAGCACATCAGTAGCGACGCAGCAGCCTCAGCACCGGCCTGCCCGCGAGCTGGAAGGGAGGGGAAGGTAGGTTTCCCCATCCAAAAGCATCTCCTAGAGTGTCTGAGTCATCTGCCTCCAGATCCAGCTGTGGCTTAGGGAACAGATCAGCAGAGGGGCCTGACCCCAGCCAGGGATGGGGTGGCTTGTGCCAGGCTCCCACCAGCTCCTGCCCACAGCCTGGACCTGGCAGCACGGCCCATTCCCTCTCACATGGTCTGGCTTTGGAAGCATCTAAAGCCACGAATAGCTTACAGCATTAGAATGAATCTGCAGGCAAGGCTGCAGCAGGCTCCCAGGCACTTGGGTTGCCTGTGCAGGTGCTACCAGGGCTCTCTAGTCTGTTCCTTTAAACACTCAATTACAGCAACCTTTGAAACCGGGTAGAGAGGAGGAATTTGTGTGACCTACCCCAAGCTCACTCAGTCATATTCCTGCTGACAGGGATATGCCATATACCACATGGCAGTGCTCTCACCAACTGCTTAGTGAAGTAGGGAGAGTATCTGAAGTACAGTCCCAAAGGAAGTGCATCTGACAGCACCTCCCCTGTGCAGGCAAGTGCTGGTGTCACAGCTGCAGATTCATGGGCCCTTTGGAGGAGATACACCAGTTTTCCCTTCCATGTGTTCCATAGGGTGATCCTTCCCTCTCACTGTTACTTATGGAGGCAATGTTTCAGTGTCAGCCACACTCAGTGCTGGGGCAGCTTCCCAGAGGGGCTGCCTGGGCAGCATCACTCACCTGTGGTCAGGATGAGCTCTTGTGGGGCTTGTCTGAAGGGTGGCGAGTTCCTCACCTCCTCAGTTAATTCAGCACTGACACAAACATGAGCAAGGCCCCTCCTCCAGGCATTAGGGCACCCAGTGCCACCTGTGGAGTGGGAGCACTGGGTGGAAAGTGGAGGGAACTAGAATTGGGTGATGCAGCTCTATGGAGCCACCCCAGCTCCTCATTTCTGGTCCTGCACTCCCATAGCAACCAGCTCTGGAGAAATCATTTCCTTCTATTAGAAAAGGAACCTAACACCCACTCCAAATCCTCTCCTCAGGTGTTCAGGAAAGCAATTGCTCTGTTTGCACTTTACCACTGCCTGCCCCAAAAGCAGGGGTAGATAAAGCACGAGCACCTAGAAAAGTAGAGGCAAACCACCCTGATCCTCATTTACCTACATGACCCTAGGTTCCAGAATGAAGTTTGAGGAGAAAGGCAGCCCCTGTGCTTGGAGAACTCACCAAGGCAGCTTACTCAGACACGTCCAATGGGAGCTGCCACATTCCTGTGTGATTAATCCATACAGCAGTGGACACGCTCCCAGGAATCCCTCATAACTCACACCCCAGAACAGAGGGTTTAGTTCATCACTAATACAAAGCAGGAGTGTTTTCACACATGTGCTCATAGTTTACAAGCTACACCACAATATGGGTGAGAAATGACTAAAGGCAAAGCTATTTCACACTCAGGCCTGCTCCAGCTTTCCCACATTAGCTGGAAAAAGAGGAAAAGCAGAACACTGGAAGAGTGGCAATCCCATCTCAGCTGCTTTAGCAGCATAGATTTGAGCCACAAGGGGCTGGAGGTCAGCAGCAAGGCTTCCATCTATCACTGTTTAAAGAAGCCATCCCAGTTCTCACAGCCACAAGTAAGTCTTCTATCCTAGAATGGTTAAAAAGAAGGTATTACTTGAGGTGCTACAAACACAAACACATTCCAGGCTCACTGGAGGTGGCATCTTTATTTAGTTGTTTGGGGTTTTTTATAACCCTTCTTAGCATGCAGGGAAAACACCGACTGAAAGCAGAGTGCTTCAGAATGTGAAAACAGCTCAGGAGGGAGATGAGTGGGAGAAGGGCAAGGTTACAGCTCTGGGAGGTATTCAGCAGCAGCACAGCAAAGGCAAGAAAGGGCACTGGGAACAGAACAATCATTTCTCTTCAACATCCAAGCACACAGGTTGCAGGAAGCACTCGGAACCAGCAGCATCACCACACACTTTGGCTACTGTGAGCTTGAACCCACGTTGAGAAGATGAAGTTTCAGCACCCTACAGACCCTCACTGCAGACACCACAGCCTGTTTCTCCTGCTGGGTCTGCTGGAGCTCCAAACCTCAAGGCATGATCTGCAAACAAGAGAAGGTGCAGGGTGTGAGACAGCTCCAACTGCAACAGAAGTCAACAGCAAGCAGTTAATGCATCCAGGCTCCTGCTGGTCACTGCAGCTCCTCAGGACACAGAACTGCTTTAATGCAGCTGACTGAAGCATTACATCAGGTTTGTCTTGACACTACCCAAAGACCTGCACATCCCAGAGGAAACAATAAAAGCTTCATGAAATGAAACCAAGTCTGAGGGCAGTCATCAGCTGGCCTGGGTTGTCACGATTCACAGGGAAGCTTTAGCAAGCACCAAACACCCTAACACTGCAGTCAGTGGAAGCCAAGTGCCCGCAAACCTGAGTGCATCAGGACCTGAAGCAGTGACAGGCGGCAGATAATAAACTGGGCTCATTTAGGACAGGTTCTTTGCCACTAGGAACAAAGGACTGGAAAAGCATCTCCTGGCTTGGCAGTGCACTCTGGTGAGTCCAGGAAGGGGGGAATCAGCACAGCCAGAGCCTGCTCATGGTTCTTCTTTCCCTTATGGACTCTCTAAAACTCAAAGGGGAGTTTGCCAACCTCACTGCAGAGGCAACATTCATAGTGCAGAGAGAGAAAAGCTGGGCTTATTCCAGCCTTCAAAGCCAGGGCATAAACCAGTTCTAATGATGCAGGGCTAAGTTAATGTGTGCAAAGACTTTTCATTCCTCTCAATACCACTTTAATACAAAATACTCATCTTTTCCACAGCTGAGAGCCAGATAGCTCTTTCAGTACAGCAATATTCATAGCCTGGGATTGCTGCTCAGGCTGGGGAAGATATTCACAGCAAATGCTGTTAGGAGCATTTTAACAGCTCTTCTATGCCTCACACAGTAAAGCTCTGGAGAGACACTCATTAGGCACTCACTACTGCTACAGGACCCTTGATGCAAGCAAAGCCTGAGCAGAAATAACCCAAATGTGTGTTTCAGGGTTAGAAGCCAGGGTATTTAAATAGAAGAGCCCCATCCTGGGGCATGGCTCCTTGCAGAACATATCCCCAACTACCCTATTAGCCCTCTTCCCAAAGCCATTGCTGGTAGGCACTGCCTTGTCCCAATTAAATGGCTCATTTTGCAGCCAGCAGCAGCCCACTTGGTTAATGGCACCTCTGGCCCTCTAATGCCCATTTAATGAGGACATTTTCCACCACCCAGCACTGCCAGGTTTTGTCAAGCCATTAGTCACTGCAAAGCCTCAGTCTTACAGCACCGCACGTGGCCAGAGCTGTTCTCACCACTTAAAGGGCTTCAGGTGTTGACAATTTGTTGCTTTATTACTAAAATCAAGCTTTTCCTTTCATTATGCCTAAGACACAATCTCTCATTACCTTGCATACAAGAGATGAGCATGTTTTCAGCAGCGTTTCGTGTCAGACTACAATAGCACCAGAGCCCATCTTCATTATCTCAGGCGCTTCAACAGCACAAAACAGGAAGCTTTTAACAGAAGTGTCTTGCTCCACTGACAGCTGCCTTTAAAAGGATGATCCTGGGGAGCTGAGGAAGCAGTTTAAGTGAAATGAAAAGGTGAAGAATATTAAAGATTGCTTACAAAAACTGCTGCATTAGCAAAGCAGAGGAACCTGAGCGCGCTCCACCTCAAGCAGAAGTTTTCCAACAGAAAAAGATGCAAAACTACTGAATTGAAGCTCTTTCTCCAAGTCTACACTGGGAGTGTTATTTTACTTGGTTTCATTTGTCCCTGTCCCGTTCAGGACAGGAGGTATCAACCCAAGGATCCTACCAGACACCCACTGAGGCCCAGTGTGTTCCAAGTGATGCCACACCTACCGGCAGCAGTTGAAGCAAGCTCCAGAACTCAGCCCTGCTCTCAGCCGTAACTGTGAGGAGGAAAAACACCTTTAGTTTGGGTTTTGGGGAAGGAGTGAGGAGCTGGTGGGTTAACATTAGGAGCAGGGCACCGTTTCCAGCACCCGCTAAATCCACACCAAACTGGTTTTCCATCTACCTCAATACTTTGAAAACAACAACCTCAAAAGCCTGTTTCTCCCATTCCCTCCATGCCCAGGTGTGATTCTTGGTAGCTACATAACACTGAACCCTGCAGAACTCCAGGTGTCATTTCACCATCAGAACAGGCAGCAAGCACAGGCATCCTGCAGGCCATAAGGGATGCTGAAGGCAAAAACAGAATTCAAGACAAGAGCTGTCACTTCTGCTTGTCCTTGCAAAACCTAAAAGGACCTTCCCCTGGTGCAGTTAAAATTGGCATCATTTTAAGTGCTTTTCTAAGGAGTTTTGTTCCATATTCTGCTGGTTCTCTGGAGAAAGAGGTAAATGCAGCAGCAGTGTCAAGCTGCTGAGCTCTAAGTAGTTACAAGCTTCTGGCACAGGAAAGCTCTTCACCTCTGACTCCCAGTGATGCCAACACATCAGGAAAGCAAATCTCCAAGGACTCAGGGCTATCAGAATAGAGAATACTGGAGTCTGCTATTCCTCTGTAACAGTAAATGATATACAACAAACCTGAATTAGATTTTAACACAGCATGTTAGTAAAACGGGCTCACTTCTAAAGCATAGAATATGACAGCATAAAAAGGTACCCTTATCTGTCATGTAAAATTATGTGACATTAAGTCATGAAGAGAATTACTGTCACAGTGGAGGGCAGGGCTTCTGCACCCTGTCCCTCCAGAGCTCTCCATTATTCACCATTTAAACTTAACATTCATGGAAAAGCCCCAGGAAAGGCAGGAACCGAGTGTCAGGCTGCTCATCATTCCCGAGTGCTCACATTGCCAGAGCACCAGCACAGACACAGCCTTTTCCTCTCTGCCACCTAATGACACAAACAGGGCACTACAGCCGCGTCTGCAACACGAGCTGGGGCATGGGGCTGCTCAACAGCGTTAACTGCACCCACTGCTGCTCACCTCGGGTCCTGCAGGAGACCTCCTCCATCGGCCAGCTCCTGCAGCTTCCTCTGGAAAAGGAAATGCACATTGCTCACTGTGGACCCAGACACGGCTCAGAGCCTGGTTCCATGGGCTCTGCTGCACCGATAGCACAAGCTTGAAAGGTACAGCAGGAAGGGAAGCTAAAGAAACAACGCACAGCACAGGCAGGGTTTAGGCACATTACATCGACTCGTTATTTCATAACACAACGGGATTCTACCCATTTTCAGGCTAAACAAAAGCCACATGCAGTGTGCCTTCTGCCGCAGACCCACTACAGGTCACACAAAGCAGCTTTCTATCCTGTTGACCCAGCTCTCACATTTAAGGCAATTACTCGCATTTCAGGTAACTAAACCCCGTTTCTAAAGCATGTCAGGCCATCAATCACTCTGAATGCCCACGGGTCTGGGAGCAAACGAGCGTAGAACACAGCCTGTCGCTCTCTGCCACCTCCTGACACAAAGGTGCCACCGCAGCCACCTTCGCAACGCCTCTGGTGGCAGGTCGGAAAGCCACAGGGACTGACAGGGGATAAATACACGTTTATAACAGCATCACCTACTCGGTAGCGTTACAGCGGGATTTGGTGCACGTGGGGACACTAAATGCAATAGATCAGAGCATTAACAGATAGGTGCAGGTCTTCGCGATAAGTACCACTTACCTTTGGCTTTTCAGGACGTCCAGATCGTTCTCACTTCACCCTTTGTCTTCTGCCAGGCTGAGGAAAGACAAGAGAAGGGAAGTTAAAAATGGCTCAATTTATACCAGCTCATCACAGTCTAGCAGTTAATAACACCTTAGCTGAGTGCGTAACAACCTCGCGACCTGCCCCCCTAACACAAGGCAGGATCAAACCGCAGCACCAACAGCCTCGCTTCCTGCGGAGGCTCCCTCCATCCCCCAGCTCCGAGAGCCGCGGACAGCGGCAGCGCCGGTGCTCGCCTCCCTCCATGGGAGCCCGGCTGCACCCAGCCCCGGCCCAGCGCTGCCCGCGCAGCCGCGGCTCTCCCCGGCCACGTTGTGTCCCCTCCGATCCCTGCACCCCGGGCGGGCAGGGACCAAGCCCCGGCTCCCCGCGGGCAGCCCCGGGGGCACACAGGAACCCCCCGGTACCTCCGGCGCGCCTTCCTTACCATCACCATCATCATCATCATCCCCTGCGCCGCAGCCTCCCGCTGCCCTCCGGCCGGGAGCGGCTCCCGGGCGGGCAGCGCGGAACGGAACGGGCCCGGAGGGGCCCAGCCCTGCCGAACGGAAGCGCAGCCCCCGCGGCCGCTCCGCTCTACCCCCGCCGCCATCGCGGTCCCACGGCGAAAAGGCCGCAGCGCTCCCGCCTTCCGCTTATATAGGGCGAGGGCGGAAGGGCCGCGGGAACAGCCCGCCCACCGAGCGGGCTCCCGTGAGCGCCCTCTGCTGGCCGGGATGACGCGGAGCAGGGAGCGGCCGATCCGAGGACCCGGATGAAGAAACGGGACCGGGATGGGGACCCGGGGCTGCGATGGGGGTACGGGACCGGGACCCCCGGCCCATTGCTCGCCCCCAGGGCTGCCCTAGGACCTCCCACCGGTGTGTCAGGGGCTGGAGCTCCCTTTCCCAGCCGCACTCTGGAGCCCCTCCATTCCCCATGGCTGTGGTGAAGGTTGGACCCCGAGATGCCCTGGGATAAAGCAGGGATCCTCCAGCCCTGCGATGTGCCACCTCCCTCCCTGCTCCCCCTGTGTGCTCCCAGGGTGGGAACAACCTTCACCCCCCTTCCTTGGCCATAAACACTGGCCAGAGTTCCCCATTTCACAAGAAGAGAGAAGAAAGATCGTGGAGCCCTTTATTCACCAGGATGGAGCATGAAATCCGAGTGATCACAAGCTCAGGGATGGGGAGGCCACAGCACAGAGGTGCCTCCGTGCAATGGGGACACACACAAGGACAGGAGCTGGCTCTGGTCTGGCTCCCATCCCCTCACATTGCTCTGGACCATTTCTGTTTGAGCCAGGACCACTGTGCGTCCTCTGCACAGCACCAGAGCCCTGCCAAAAGCCAGTGCTCTGGGTGCAGGACGCCCCTCACCACCCCCCACGGGCTCTAATTGCCCTCTGCTTTGCTCCGCAGCTCACGCACGGCCTCGTTGTGCCGCCTCTTGTCCTTGGCGCGGATGATGGTCATCCTGAAGAGCTTGCAGTACAGCTCCATGGCGCTGGGGCTGTCGTCATTGCCCGGGATGGGGTACGTGATCAAGCAGGGGTTGCAGTTCGTGTCCACCACCCCCACCGTGGGGATGTTCATCTTGGCCGCGTCCCGGATGGCCACGTGCGGCTCGAAGACGTTGTTGAGGCTGCTGAGGAAGATGATGAGGTCGGGCAGGCGCACGCCGGTGCCGAACTGGATGTGCGCGTTGGTGAGCAGCCCGCCCTGCCAGTACCGCGTGTGCGCGTACTCCCCGCAGCCCCGCGCCGTGCTCTCCACCAAGTGGCAGAACTGGCGCTTGCGGCTGACGAAGAGGATGATGCCCTTGCGGTAGGCGATGTGCGCGGTGAAGTTGAGGGCGAGCTGCAGGTGCTCCATCGTCTGGTCCAGGTCGATGATGTCCTGGTCCAGGCGGCAGCCGAAGATGTAGGGCTCCATGAACCTGGGGGGCAGAGGGAGGGCACAAGGGGGTGCGGGGATGGGGCGATGCAGGCACTGAGCAGCCTGGATGTGGTGCGGCCTCACCGTGGAACCCTTCCCACCCTCCAACCCCAGTGACACCCCCCAGAGGAGCCCTCTGCAGAGGTGCACACAGCATGTCCCTGCAGGGCTCACACTGGGCAGGGTCCCTGTACATGCCCATGTGGATATGAGGGTCTCCATGGGCAGTTCCAGACCCCTCCAGTGCAGACACAGCCAGGGGCAGCCTCCTGCTTCACTCACCGATGCCGACATCCCTTTTTGTGCCCCAGGTGCACCCGCGCATCGAAGAGGTCTTTCAGGGAGAAGAGCTCCTTCACGTTGAAGTAGTCGGGGTGTGCGAGGGGCTCGGAGAGCAGCTTCTCATCCGCGGCTGAGAGAGAGGGAACCGCGGTAAGGACCCGGTCCCGCGTTGTGCTTGCAGGGGATGCGAAGGGCGCTGATGCACCCCGAGCCCCAGGGGCCTGGCGGTACCGGCGAGGGGCGCGGCATCACTCACCGAGGGGCTGGGCCGGGCTGGGCGCCGGGGCCAGGGCCGGGGCCGCGATGCTGCTGTAGAGGCGCGGGGCTGCTGCGGGGAGAGAACGCGGGGTGAGGCGGGCGGGCGGGGCGGGGCGGGAGCGCGGCGGGAGGGGGCGGGGGGGGAGCCGGGCGGGAGCCGCTCACCTGCCCGCAGGAGCCGCGGCACCGCCATGCTCCGAGCCCGCAGCGCCGGGAGCGGCGGCAGCGGCAGGAGCAGGAGGAGGAGCGAGGATGATGAAGGTCAAGCGGCGCCTTCCGCTTCCCGGGCCGCGCCGGGGCGGGGCGATCCCTGGGGCGGGGGGCGGAGCGATCGCGGCCCCGCCCACAGCGTCCCGTCTCCTGGCAACGCTCGGCTCCGCGGCCCTGCGCCGTCCCTGCGCCATGTCCGTGCCGGCGGGCGCCGAGCCCCGCACCAGCGGCTGTTCCCGCAGCAGCGCCAGCCCCCCCGGCCCCCTCCAGCAGCCGGACCGCTTCTGCGGCTACGGGTGAGCCCCCGCGCCCGGCCCCGCGCGGCCCCGGCCCCGCTCCAACCCCGCTCCAACCCCGCTCTGTGCCCGCAGGAAGCCGGAGCCTCACCCGCGGTACCGCACCACGAACCAGACGTACGGCAGCAGGGCCCCCACGGTGCACGAGGTGCCGGTAGGTTGGGGACCGCCGGGGGTTGGGGCAGCCCCGAGGAGGAGGCCGTGGGGGTCAGCAGGACCCGTCAGTGTGCGCTTGAGCCCAGGCGCTGCTGATGGTGGCATCGAGCACATCTCCCCTCTGTTTGCTCCCCAGACCTCCTTCCACGTCACCTCCCACAGCTTTACGAGGATCCAAGGCATGGGGGGCCCATACAGGAACAGCGGGCTCAACACGGCCCTGGAGAAGAGCCACGTCACAGGCCCGGGCAACTTCATCACCACCCATGAGCACCTCGACTTCCACCCCAGCTACAAGCCCAATGGCCCATCCCACTGTTAGAGCTGCAGTGGGAGCAACAGGGTCACTGCTGGCTAAATACCCCCCCCAAAGCCCCCTGAGCAAACAGCACTGACCTGCCCCTCAACCTCTTGCTAAGCCTCTTTGCAAGCCTGACAAGAAGCGCTGCACTGCAGAGTAATTCACATGCTCACTACTGGGTCCTACAAGACAGTGACCACCTCGGTCAGGCCTGGTTAAGGCCTGCATAGGCTTTGGGGAAACCAGTTTAAAAGTGTTATTAAAACAGAGTCCAGGAATTTGTTGGGAGAAACACGAGTCTCTTTGGTACCAGAGGGAAATCACCACAGAATGACTGTTATTAGGAACAACAATTGAAGATTTAAGGTTACTAAATGCTAAATAGCGCATGTGAACCATTTACTTAGTTTATAGGCAGCATAAATACTAGAACAATATACATTACATACCTATATTCCCCTAACCTTTTCTCTGCTACTAATGATGCTTTAAGCTCTTGGCTCATGTACCATGCATCATTAAAATTTAAGACCTTAAATCAGTTTTTGTACTATTTAATGAATAACCAAAGGGCAGGTTTTCCAAGAGCCTTTGGGTCTCTTGTAGAGAGCTCCTTCACCTTCCTCACCTCTCAAAGCTACAGGGGTTTCAGGAACGACTCAAGTAACAACACCTAATCCAAGGGAACACGTCTTCCTCAAGGTTTATTGTAACAACGGGGGTTACACAGCGAGTGGAACCCCATCATCTGCACAGGAACTGCACTGGAACGGACAACCTGGCACGTGTGGCTTATGAACTGGTCTTGAACAGAAAGTGTGCGGCCTGTGTCTGATGAGGAACGGTCCTGCCTCACAGGGGGAACAGCAGACATTAAACATAACACTGTTCTTGCTGCTTGCTAAAGAACTAAAAAGGAAACAAGGGGTGTAATAGGGTGTCCAAGCACCACTGCGAATGATACTCTTCATGGGAGGGATATTCCCTGTTTGGGTTATTTTTATGTAGCCTTGCAAACGGTGCAGGATGCATTTAAGCATCTTTGGAAGGCAGAGGAATCCTCTTTAATTATTGCCACTAAGCACAAATCTGAGGTCCAAAACTGAACAGAAAACCAGGCCCTTACTTGTCCCTTTTCAACCACCGAAACCCCAGTGTGGGCCCATGCTCCCATCACCAAGGTTTCAACGCCACCTCCCAAATGATTCCAGTTTTCACTGCAGTTTATATGGTTACCTCAAACAGAAGGGCTGCTAAAGAACCTCTGCTGAGAACAAGATAACACACTGGAACCAGCACATGGACTGAGCAGAAACACTTCTCAAAACACTTAACTTCTTAAAACCTTTAACTTCTGGAAATGAATAAGCAGCCCTCAGCCATTCACTGCTATTCTATCAGAGCCGACAATGCCTTGAGCTTCTTACTTTCCCTTTCTTCTCCTGAAATGAAAAACAACACAAAGTGCTGAATTAATACAGATGGTTGTGACAGTTTACACGTATCTTTAGCCACAGATTCTTCTGCAGCCTGAACAGTTTAGGGATGAGACCGCCTCTTGCAAAGGGATTCGGTGGCTTTTGTCACCTATTTCCCCCCTAGTCTTCATCTCATCCAGAACCCCCCATCTCCTCCCTCCCTTGTCTCAACTCTCACTCTCTTCTATTCTGGAGCGAGCCGGGTGCAGCTCACCTCACCTCACATTAACTGTCCCCAGGGATACGCTGCGTTAAGGTTACCCAGCTCTCTTCCACTGAGGTTTGCTGGGAAGGGAGCAACACACAAGGTGCAGCCAGCCCCAAGAGATGTGCCTGTATGCATCAGTTTGCTCAAGGCTTCACTTACCACGTGCCAAACACTGGTTTAAGTTTACTTTCCTCCATTCCCCTGCTTTAGTGGCCTCAGACACAGTGACCTGTTTGTTCAGATGTTACACACTTCTTTCGTAAGGAATACCTGCACCAATCCAAACTGCCACCCTCAAGAGGACACATTTCACTGCAGGGGATTTCCCAAAACAGCCTCTTGCTACTCTGCATTTTGAAAGCAAAATCTTCATGTTTACAGATAAAATAAGGTGAGGCTTTACCATCAAACCAAGATGAACTGCAGCTCCGGGCACCAGTCAATCACACCTTCAGACTGCAGGCAGGGGGGAAAGGTAACGCAAACCCACTGCTCACTCGAGACGATGACACAAACCATAGGAGCACTCTGGTTTCTCGGGCCATGGTCAGAACCCCATTTATTCACCATTATAAACGTATCCATGTACACCATTTCCTATATACAAATCAAGTTTCTCGATTTAAAAAAGTGCTGCTTGAAATCAGGTTTTATTTAAAGCACAAGCTCACGGGAACTGCTTCTGACCCGGATCTGGTAGTGAGGAGTACCGAGAACACAGACACATCAGTGGGGCACCAGACACCACCTTGTGAGGCTCAGTGATTTACTGACAGCTCTGAGGAGGAGCATTCAGCTCAATTCACACAAACAGTACAGAATGTGTCCACCCCCCCGTTAATGCAGTTTAACCCTTTGAAAGCAAGGTACTCTGAAAACTTCTATTTTAAAATACCTATTTACCTATTGCAAACAAAGGCCCAAATCCTGCAACTGCACCAAGGCAGCCAAACCACGCCTGTGCAGAGGGGCTGCAGGCACAGGAGCCGAGGGAGAAACCACTTTTCCAAGGTATCCTACCCCAAAATGAGATCCTGGTGCTTTAAACAAACGGGTCACCAAGGCAAAGGCTACAAAAGGGTGGCCGGACAGTAGGAAATGTCAAATGACCACTAGAAACAGGTTTAAAACACGACTGCACAACAGGATAAACACACAAAGGCTGCTGTTCACTTCTCCACATGCCACGGTTACTTGTTCTACTCTACGCTACGCTGCAGTCTGCCACTGTTGTGCAAACGTGACCACACCAGGGGGGATCCTGGGTGGCTCTGGATCCCTTCCCGGCTGCTTTCGCTCCATTTTCCAACACCAAGGCCAGCCTCCAGGAAGACACAGACAGCAAGGGACAGTACGTTTGGCTGAGAGAACACCGGACAAAGAGAGCATCGGATCAGTTCACAGGGACAAGATGTGAGAACAAACTACTCAAAGGACTCCATGACACGCAAATGAGAAGAACCAGCCAAAGGCTCGAATTCCCACTTCTGGGATCTTTCAGTGAAGGCAGAGTGGGGGCACTTTTGTTTGGTGATGTGAACGTGCTACTTTAGTCCCGTATCAAGTCAGTACAAATAGAGAGTAGTGAAAAATTGCTTTATTCCTGCTGCTGGAAACGGAGGCAGAGAAAGAGCTACTGGTATGAAGGAACAGTGCTGGAAATATCCTTGGCGCTTACATCAGGGATGTCCTAGAGCAAACCCAGCTTTGTTCTATTGCACAAAAACTGTAAGTGAAAATCAGAGTCCACGGAGATGTAACAGTTCAGAAACCCCTTTGAACAAGGCAAGTAAGGGCACTCGATTCCAGAAGTTCACACAGGAAACCAAAATCCATCCCTGGGTAACTGCAGGGCAGCAAAGTGAGACTTGAGAACAAGGAGGAATTGTTTCAGCCTCACAGGCCCCACAGGGCATCAATGTAGTGAAATGCACTGAGATCCTGGTGTCAGCACAGACATGCTCCTCAGGCTGCATGGAATCATCCCCCGCTGACGGGAGACTGGGGGGGTTCAGAAGGTTCCTGCCTTCACCCAGGATGTGCAGACAGACCCATCCCCATCATTTACCTGAATCTGCGTTTGGATCTTCAAGGCTGGAGCCCCACACCTACATCTGCACTGGCTCTGCTGGAGCTGGGCTGAGGGAACTCACCCAACAGCCCCCGGGGCAGGGGAGAACCGGGACCCCGGCACAGGCCCGTGGCATGGGGGTGTCCTAAGGCAGCTCAAACGGGAATGGTGTCAGACAATGGGCTTCAGAGGCAGAGCACCAGGATCAAATGCTGTGTCCTCCTCCTCTGAGCAGATTGCCAAATGGAATCCGTGCACAGACAGGTTTCCTATTTATACATATGATTAGAGGCCTCATCATTTAAAGCGTGATGAGCCAATATCTTATCTACAGTGACTACAGCATCCTGCAGCAACGGCAGCCCTAAAAATCCTTATAAAAAATATTTCCTTAGAGCACTTTAAATAATTTACAAAATTCTACAAAAACGATGGATGTCTGTCCATGAGATCCCTGTTAACAGAAGCACTTTCACATTAGTGTGTGTAGGATATACAGGTGATACAGGTGTCTGTGATATACAGGTACCAGCCTCCCCCACTGTTTGCCAAGTCTCAAGTTTGAGCAAGGTAATTACCTCTGTTCTCTAGAAAGACTGTTACTGTAAAAAGAAGTGTACTTACAGATGTGAAACCTTTCCTTTAGTGAGGGAATCGGGCTGGATCCCTGCAGGGAGCTCAGGACCTTTTGCACCGGGTTTGTCTACACCTTCCTGCCCTTGGTCTGCTTCACAAGTGGTTTCCCTATTCTCCAGGACAGGTATTTTTCCTTCCAAACTGGAGCTGGATACCTGCATTTCTTCCTGCCTGTCGCTGTCCTGGCAGACAGCTTTTCCCTTCTCACTGCACATCTGTGTGCTGTTATTTGTACATGCTCCTCCACCGGTTTTATCCACTGCTACCACTGTCACATTTAGCTCCTGTGGTGGGCAACCTAAGCTTGGAGCTGGGCTCTTGTCCTGCTGGTTGTTCCCTCCCTTGCTGCACACATGTATACCCTGCTGAGATGCATCTCTACTGACTTTATCCGCTTGTACCACTGCCACGCTGTGCTCAGGGCATGGAGCATCTACATTTGGATCAGCCCAGCTGTCTTTGTGCATATCTCCTGCCTTGATCCACATCTGTGCGCTCCCAGCTTTGGATGCTCCTCTGCAACCCTTATCTACCTTCACTGCTGCCACGTTCTGCTCCTGCAAAGGGAGATTGGAATGTGAATCTGACTGCTCTGCTGAAGCACCAGCCCGCTCCGAGCCCCCTGCTTCCTCCCTGACAGGCACAGGAGCTGCCTCCAGTCTTCCACAGGTTTCTGCTACATGGGGACTTGACCCTTCCCCAGCGAGCTTCTGAGAACTGGATTCTTTCATTGCTGTTGGACTCTCCCCATTAAGCTCATCTTTGGGCGAGGGGGCTCCTCTTCCCTGGTTAAGCACATCTGCATCCTGGGAAGCTGCCTCTGTTCCTAATGCACTGCTCTGGGCGAGCAAGCTCTCTGCTTTCTGCCTTTTGCTCAGAAGCATGGATTTCTTCCTGTCCCGAGCACCCTTTAGCCCTGCAATAAATTTACTTGAGATTTTGAGGTGAAAGGTATTCTTTCTCTTGGACCTGGGCTTTGCAGTAACTACTTTTTGTACTTTACCACCTCTGTTTTTGCTGGTTTTAGGTGGAAGCGTTTTCTGCACGGGCTCTGGATTAGGGACATCCTTTTTACCTGCTGTGCTTCCAGATACCTCACCAGCAGCAGCACCTTTAACCCCCCCCAGTCCTTGCTTAGCTTTTGACTGACCAGTAGTATGAACATTCTGTGCTGAGGAAGCACATTTCCCACTGCCATGTAACATTGCACCTTTCCCTTCTGTCCCAAGAGAGTTCTTCAACTCCTCAGGGTGCTGAGACACCTCAGGCTTGTCACTCCGACCCAGCACAAGGTCAAGCTCACTTTCCACCAGCTGTGGCTTTGCTTTTCCTTTAGGAGCAGTTTGTTTGGTCACTCTCAATAGGTCCAGAGCTGCATCATCCTTCTGGAGCTCCGAGCTGCTTGCAGAGTCTTTAGCCTTTTCTGCCAAAAACTTCCTAATTTCTTGCTCAATGCTGTCATCGCTGTCCACTGAACTGCTGTCGTCAGCGCCCGACGGGGCTGTGAAAGTACACTGCCTATTTTTAGCTGCCTGCAGGTTATTCTGGCTTGTGACTGGTCTGGGCTTGGATCCTTTTCTAAGCTGTAGGTTAAAGTCCGAGTTCTTCCCGGTCTCTGGTTTTTCACTGGGAGGTTTGACACCTGTGTTGTCTTTCGTGGCTTTCCTGGGTTTGGAGAGGCAGCTCTTCAGCAGCACGGGATTTCTGCCCTGCTGGAGGCTGCTGAATCCATCGAGCAGCTGAGCTTCTGTCTCGCTGAACCTCACCCTCTTCTTGCACTGAGACTTCTGCTCCTTGGACTTCTTCTTTAACTTTCTTTTAGAGCGCAGAAGGTCCTTGATGGCACTGTCCAGGTCCTCATCACTATCCAGAGAACTGCTCTCATCATCCGAACCGTCCCTCTCGGGAGTCTGGATGGAGTTTTTCACAGGCTTTCTTGTGCTGCTCTGAACCTGCAGAAAAGGGTTTACAGAGTCCAAGGCCACACATTTGCCATCTGATCCAGACAGTTTGGGAGCCATCAGCTGCTGCTGCCTCGGCTCTTTGCTGCCAAGCCTTTGAGCATCACAGAGCTCTGTGGGGCTGCTCGGGGCACGTTCCTCTTGCAGCACAGCAAGTCTTGGATAGTTGCCTGGCTGGAAAAGTCCTGTCTCCACCTGCTCAGGTGGTTTTGATGCACCTTGTTTTGCTATTCTGCTTTCCCTTTTGAGTCTCTTTTTACGATTCAGCGATAGCTTCAGCGATTTGGGAAGAGGAGGCTCTAGGGTGCTGGCGAGGCTGTTCTGATCCGAAGGCAAAGGCATCTGGAGTGAGTGTGACAGGCTGGGAGGCTTCGTTCCAAGGTTTTCTGACTGTGCTTTCAGAGCCAAAAAAGCCCTGATCTCTTGCTCGATGCTATCATCACTGTCCACCAGGCTGCTGTCGCTGTCACAGCGCGAGGATGAGAGGAGCTGGGGAGAGAAGAAGGAGTCTGCAGCGAGTGATTTGCTGTCACTTCCCATTTGGGATGGCATGATTGTTTTGGAAATATCGAGGATAGCTTCCGCACACATGAGCTCTGCAGATGTGTCTGCTCTGCAAGAGGCCTGCAGCGTGAGCTCACAAGCAGCAATCTTGTTTTCTGGGAGTGCAAAATGTCTGGCTTTTTTCAGTGGTTTAAACAGCTTGTTAAAGTCATTGCTGGTGCTTTCGAGTTCTGCTGACTTGGAATCAGTTTCTTTTCTCTTCTTGCTTATAGGGCTTTTATGGATTTCTGGTGAGGCACTTGTTGTTGAGCTAATTGTTAGGCTTGCAGAGATGTCTGCCAGACCCTTTGTAGGAAGTTCCTCCCTCTGCAAAGGGACACAGTCTGTTGTGTGACCTGCCTCTCTCCTGATTTTCTCCAGCTGATAAAGCTGAATGGCTTCTTCGATGCCATCATCGCTGCTCGAGTCAGATGTGTGCACGCTCTCGCTGACAAGTGCTCCCCTGGTGTCCCAGTAATTAGCTCCACTCTCATCTTGCTCCACTGCCCAGGGCTGGCTGGCAGTGGCCATTTCCAGACAGGCTGGGTTCACCTGGCTGAAGTCACTTGGCTCTGGTTGGGTTTTAGACTGCAAACCCTTGGCCTGCATGCTGGGTGTCTGCAGCTTGGCACGGTGTCTCAAGAGCAGCGCGCTACAACCTTGCTTTATAGCACCACAGTTCGGTTTGTTTGTCGCTTCTTTGCTGCATTTTAGGGTAGATCTCACGTGGGAATCTTTCTTCTCCTCCCCAGGTACACATTTACTTATTTCTTGCTGCTTCTTCTCATTCAAGAACTGCACTATTTCAGCTTGTATGCTCTGTTCAAAGGAGTCGTCGCTACTGATGCTCTGAGGGGAAGCAGGCTGCAGCCTTTTCCCAATGCCCAGGTGGTCAGACAGGTACTCTTCAGAGAGCATCTCAGCTTTGAATTTCACAGGGAGAAGGTTACTCGCCACCTTGTTCTGTGAGAACTCTCTCTTAAACCTTTTGTCTCTGCTTATGTTTTCAGAACACTCTGCACCCCTCTGCAAGGACTGGTCACTCTGGCTTTTTGCTTTCAAGTACTCCTGAATGGCTTCCTCTATACCTCGGTCCACTGAGTCGTCGCTATCAGACTCAAGCAGGAGTCTTCCAAACCCCACACAGTCTTCCTCCTCGGTGTCATCAGAGTCAGCCGGGCTCCCCCACTGGGTGCACTGAGGATGCTTCTGCAGCAACACAGGGCTAGACGTGACTCTGTTACTGCTGCCCTTTTCTCCCTGTTGTTTCTTCTGCATAACACAATCATACTCATTGTTCATACCCAGGGCAGACTCTTGACTTTGCAGGTTGTTTATGATCATCTGAACTTTTGCACTTACAGAGGTTCTACTGACGTCTTCTTCAGGTTCAGGGTAGCAAACAGGGTATCTACAATTCCTCGCTGGGCCAAAGGACTCCCATTTTGTCTGAAGAGCTACCAAAGGAGAAGCATTCATCAGGAACATTCTAGCAGACAACAGCAGGTCCACGACAGAACAGTTTTTCAGACTTTCTCTTCCATCCTACAAAAAAAAAAAAAGAGGAAAATGGCTTTTATTACACATTTACCTTCTAAAAGTTCCATGTCATAATACTGGTAACATAAATCACCAGTTATTACCACTGCGGCTTATTGTGCCAGGTAATCATGGCATTTACTCAGCATCACTTCAGTGGGTAAATCAGTCACTGCTGCCATTGAAGGTAAGACAGAGCCCTCATCCTTTGTGGTTCTCAGTATCTTCTGGTGCAAGCAGGTGATTATCTTCACCTCCAGAAGCCTCCCTGTGCTTCCATGGAAGGTTGTGCTCTCTTTTCTGTACGTTCCTAAACAATCATCTGTTGCCAAGCTCCACACAGAACTGCTCTGATGGCACCTCAGTGTGATCCCCTCCTTCACTCACGGTTGTCTGAGTATTTTTGCAGTAAACTCCATGCAAGAAAGCACAAATTTAAGGGGATCTTTCCTTTGGAAGTGGGATTGGTGTGCGCGGAGTACCCTGCAAAACATTCCGCTCCTGTTTCCTTCGGCAAAACTGCCCTTCCCAAAGCACTCCCTCTGTGCAGAGCTCAGTGTTTCAGCTCTAAAGCAAAAGCAATGCTGCCCATACAGCTCAACAGGTTGGTATGAGGTGGGCTCGCTGGCAATCCAAGGTGGTGGGACACAAACCAGCTCTCACTCAAAGAGCAGAGCAACCACGTTAGCATCACGCCTGGACTCACACACAAGCCCCACGCAGCTTTTACCAGTTCTGGTGTGGCATCAAACACACACAGCTCAGGAACCTGGGGCAGTGCAAAGAGAAGGGAGCTCGTTTCCTCCTGAAACCCACTATACAGCAATGACTCTAAGCCACCAACCACTCCAGCCTCACTGCAGGATGAAAGCTTTTGGTAAGCACAAAGCTTTAGGAGTTTTTAAGAGCAGGATGAGGATCATGAGCACCTGTAAGCATCATGATCACAAACACCCCTCCTCACTGGCGGGTACCTGCAGCAACCCAGCACTGTCCTAACTTCCACCTTTCAGGCAGCTGAAGGTAGCTCAGACCGACTTCTGCTCTAGGATCCAGCACAGTGCTCCTGGTATCCATCCCTGGGTGAACCGGGAGGCACCTCCCGACACAGTGTGGCTCAGGCCTTACAAACACACACCGTTTTTAAAGGCCCCTCCAACACACTCACTGGGGCACGCATAAATTAGGGACATTTTTCATTGTAATAAGCACTGAGGATCAAAACGGCAGGAATGAGAACTGTGATGATACCGTACGTGAGCTCTCAGCTCCACTGAAAACCTCAAGACCCCTGCTCCTATTAACCTATTTGCACAGGGAAGGGGCAGGCGCCTTCGCTCCCCTGCACATGGGCTGCGGCTGCCCGGGGAGGATCACACGGAGCTGGGATGAGATCCCCCCCCCCCAAGCACCGCTTCAGGCCGGGGCCGAGGGGCACCCACCGCGGGGACCCGGAGGCACAGGCACGGGGGGGGCACCCACGGGGAGCGCACCCACAGCGGGGGCGCGGGGACACGCGGGGACGCGCACCCGGGGGTGTCCGAGGGGGCTCCCGGTCGCGGTGTACGCGAGGCCGCTGCCCGCGGCCAGCCGGGCCCTGCCCGCGCCGCCATGGCTGCCCCTTCCCGCCTTCCACCGCCCTCGGCCGGCCTCGCCGGGCCCGGACCTGGGCCTCGGCCTCACCGGAGCCCCTCCGTGCGGCTCCGCTCCGCTCCGCCCGCCCCCGGCGCTCACCTGCTGCTGCCGCTGCCGCCGCGGGGGGAGGCCGAGGGGCGGATCGCGGTGGTGGTGGCGGTGCCCGGGCCGGGCTCCCCGCTCCACCGAGCTCCGGCTCCGGCGCGGCCGCTGCCCGCCGCTCTGGTGCAGGGGCGGGCGGCGCTTCCTTCCCTGCCCCCGGGGAGCGGGAGGCATGCGCCGCAGGGCGCCGCCGGGGAGGCGGGAGCGACCGCCCGGGCCTCGGCGGCCGCCGGCTCTGCCCGCGGGAGCGGCGGGGCGGGGAGGGGCCGGGCCGGGGCACAAAGGCAGGCGCGGCCGCAGCGCCGCAGGCCGGGAGCCGGCGCGGAGGGGAGGGAGGCCGGGCCCCGGTTAACGGCGGACAGTGGGAGGTCCGGCGGGGGCAAGGAGCGGCTGCGGCCATTGGCAGCCCTGGGGCCGGGGTTGGGGCCCAAAGGCGGCTTTGTCCGGGCAGCGGCTGGGCCAGCTCCCAACCGAGCGCTCGCACCGCTTGCTTCGGAGACAGGAGCCGAGTACAGGACGCGGGAGGAGCGGAGTGGATGCAGTGGGGCTGCCAGAGAGGAAAGCACCGCAGAACGCAGCACAAACTGCTCCAAACTCAGAGTGTGGGGATGCAAAACTAGAAGTGAGGTTGAGAGTGCCGGTTCCTCTGGTTTGGTGCTTTGGCTGCTGGAGTTAACGGTGTTTGAGCTTTCGTGTGCAGAAGCAGCACGGTTTTAGCGCTCTGTTTCTAAGCTGTGTTGCTGGTGAGCAGGCTTTCCCCACGGATGCCCTGCCCGCCCTGTCCTGTGCTCCCAGCGCTGAGCCAAGCTCCGGAATCCTTCCAGGACACCCGTTCCAAGCTGCTTGTTCATGAAAACAGAGCGAGCCCAGCTCCCCCTTTGGGAATCCGCACAAGCTTTGCCATCCCGAACCGAGGAGGTGTCTCCCAAGGAACAAGGGATGGGATGGGAGGAACCGGCCTCAAACTGCACCAGGGCAGGTTTAGATGGAGCTGAGGAACAATTCCTGCCCCAGAGGGTGCTCAGGCATTGGAACAGGCTGCCCAGGGCTGGGCTGCAGGCACCGGCCCTGCAAGGGTTCACACAGCGTGGGGACGAGACCTCAGTGCCATGGGTAGTGGTGGCCGTGGCAGTGCTGGGAACGGTTGGACTGGATGAGCTTAAAGGGCTTTTCCAACCCGGCTGATTCTGTTATACCAGTGTCCAGCAAACACGAACCTGATGCTTTAACCCGAAGTGCTGCCTGTTTCCCCTTTCCCAGTGCATTTTTCCCCCCATTGTGCTTAAACACCTGTGATGCTGCAGAGGAAACCACATCTTTTGGCTGTTTGTTTCCAAAATCACAGGGGAAATGCTTGGGCTAGGAGATACCACGAGAACAGCAGTTGGGAACAGTGAGTTTAATGGGTTCCAGGCTGAAAACAGGGTGACAGCTCGTGGCAGTGCAGACATGGGACAGTGCACGAGAATGCTGGGGATGTCAGAATCAGGCCCATTTGCCTTAATAGCCGTTCTCACATCCAATTACTCATCCTTGCTGTCACTTTGCATTCACAGCTCCAGACACTTGACCGATGCTGCTGGTTCCGCCGCAGCTTTGGCAGCGCATCCCAGCACCACAGACACTGGGGTTAACTCAGGACTCGGAGGGCAGTGTCCTGGTGCAGGGTTGGACGCTGGTGAGAATTTAGCCAGGCTCTGGGGTGGATCTGTTCTGTCCTTACGCAAAGGGAAGGTGCTGCTGGAAGGGCTGGACTGAACCTGCCCTGTCCCTGCTGTTGATGCCAGACGCCAAGGGCTGAGGTTTTGTGCTCATGCTGTGGCAGCGCATTGCACAATGTGGGGCTGACACATGCTGAGTGCTGCAGAACGGATTTCATAGAATCATAGAATCATAGAATAGTTAGGGTTGGACAGGACCTTAAGATCATCCAGTTCCAACCCCCCTGCCATGGGCAGGGACACCTCGCTCTAAACCATGCCACCCAAGGCCTCGTCCAACCTGGCCTTGAACACTGCCAGGGATGGAGCACTCACAACCTCCCTGGGCAACCCATTCCACTGCCTCACCACCCTAACAGCAAAGATTTTCCTCCTTATATTTCCACTTGATTTTACCCCGGAGATGCTTGTTTTGGGGAGCACCTGTATTTTCATACCCTTTGTGCCCTTTCCCTGTTTCCAGCCTCATCTTCTAAAGTGTTCTTCCCCCTCAGGAGTCCTTCACCTACCAAACCAGGTCTGGTCCTGGGAATGGGCCAGGACCATGTCTCAAACCACCAGACACAGTTACAGACTCATATTTATCTCCTGCTCTTACAATAGATAAAACGGAGCCGATAAGACACTGGCCTGTGTGTTCTTGTGCCTGGGATATGTAACAGGCGTTTATGTTCTGAAGTGGCTCCCTTGAACAAGGCTGCTGAAAACAGCACAGCCAGCACCCGTGTGCAGAAGGAAACAATGAACTTGCTTTTCCTTAGCTGCAGAGCTGCAGCCCTGAGGTGAGGCAACTTTGCTCCTGTCACCCTATTGCTCCTCTGCCATGCCAGAGGAAAGAAAGGGCTCTTGTGTTCATGTATCCTCTTGGGCCAAGTCGATTTCCATGTGAAAGTGCTTGTAAAATCGAAGTCAAAGCTGTGGCCAGAAGCCTGATAAATGCTTTTGTGCCCATGGAATTGCTTGGGAGGAGGGGCTGGCTGCTGCTGGGTTGCTCTGTGCTTGCCCAGGGCATTGCTTGGCATGTTCTGGCTCTGCAGAGCAAGTTACCTCCCTGCGCACCCTTTAGCTTGAAAGAAGAGCAGAGCCTCTCCTCGAGGTCCCATTAGGGAGGATTTGTCTTCCTGATCCATGATCTTTGTGGAAATGAGAGCAGTGGTCCCTGTGTCCCCGCTGGATGGATGACACAGTCAGGAGCACTAATTGGACCCCTTGTTAGGATGACCGGAATGGCAGGGAGACATTCATGTGCTTGGGATGAAACATCTTCCTCGACCTCAGGATCTGCTCATCCTATTTGCAGCTTATTGCAGGGGGTAGGAGCAGGCGCTCATTAGAGGTGGCTCTGGGTACATCAGAGGCAGAAGCTGCTCTGGGTTATCAGAGGCTGGAAGCAGAGCTCAGGTGATGGCTCTTTTATTGGACAAGATTAAAACCAAATAGTAAGAACAAAAAGGCTCACCTCTCAGATCTTGTTGTCAGGTAACCTGCGGCTTCGTGACCAATTAGTTCCTACATGGAGCTGTGTTACAGCACCAGGCATCCCTGCTGCACT